CCATGAGTGGAGGTCACATTTGAACAGCAGCTCCATCCAGAAACTCTCTTAAATAATTGACTTTTAATAATTCATGTTTTGCCCACCTACTATATTAATTCTCTTCACTAACCAGAGCAAAGCTGAAGAGGGGGAAATTAATTATCATTGCTCAGCCGTTTGGAACTGATGTTGCAGATTTAGGGGTAGAATAAAAAGAAAGGATAGAAATAGCTGTGAAGATTTGCCGCATCAAAAATGTAAAAGCTATAATCAGTGCAGAGAGCTGAATCATAATGGAAAAAACAGACAGTGAATGAATTTCATCAGGGTGATCTTAAGCGGGGCAAAACACTTAAACATTTTATTGTCGTCATGTTTCATGAGCGACGCCAGCACAACAAACAATCTCAAATCCCTTTCACTTTCAATGCATCATGTTCACACTCAAAATTAGTGAAGCAAATGAGGAGTGTTGAATTACAGCTTAGATTGCTTGTTGACGATATAAGTTCATAAGTTAATAATTTATTCAGGATCATGTTGTTTCCTCATCAGAACAGATTTGGATAAATTTAGCTTTACATCACTTGCTCACTAATGGATGCTCTGCAGTGAATGGGTGCCGTCAGAATGAGAGTCCAAACAGCTGATAAAAACATCACAATAATCCACAAGTAATCTACACCACTCCAGTCCATGAATTAACATATTGTGAAGTGAAAAGCTGCATGTTTGTAAGGAACAATACATCATTAAGATGTTTTTAACTTTAAACCATTGTGTTCGGGCTAAAATATGAATCATCTCTCCATAATATTGCTTTCAACAAAAGTCATCTTGTCTGATTCAGGAAAGAAATATGCACAGATCAAGCACCATTTAGAAGCAAGAACAGTCCAAAACAGTTTTCAACATATATGTTGGTTAGGACTGGTATTTTGTCCAGAAGCGACAAAATTGCTGACGTTTTTATCAGCTGTTTGGACTCTCATTCTGACGGCACCCATTCACTGCAGATGATCCACTGGTGAGCAAGTGATCTCCAAATCTGTTGCCATGAAGAAACAAACTCATGTTTTTCTGCTTCAAAATTGTATGTTTAATTCAGTGTTACTTGCCATTTCTTTGTTATTATTTGTAAAATTTACTAGCAATTTCTGCGTGAAAATTGTTACAAAATAAATCCTACACCAATTGTTTCTTTTTTTTCAATGTTGGACATTTTGCAAACTCCTCTTGTGTTCCACTTCTGAAGGAAAGTGATATGAAAGACATGAAGGTGACTAAATCATAACAATTTTCATGTTTGTGCAAACTATTCCTTTAACATCATACACTTGAAAACAGCAGAGTGCTCCTACAAACCATAATTAAAACTGTTGTCACAAGTGCTTTCTCACCACGCAGTATGCTTTAATGTGTTTCATTTACATTGTGTTTGAATTGAAATGTTGAGTCTGGTTTATTTCAGTAAGTAAAGCGCAGCGCTGCATAAATATCTCTGAAAAGGGAGGTGGTTTGCAGAAGATATTTGAAACATAAACAGAGAGTGTAGAAAAGCTCTTGAGATGTGAAGAGCCATGTCTGAATGAGGCAGTGAGTCACCTCCTGAATGTACTCTTCAAAGTCATCTCAGCTCTTCTGTTCACTGGAGATGTACAAGTGTATTCAAGCCAAACACAACTTCTCAATACAACCAAGATATGTCACAAAAGCACTTAAAGCAGTAAAGCAATTGCTGAATTTCCTGTTCATGCCAACTCTTGGCTGAAATGACAACAGTGCAATTATATGTGTCGTGAGTAAGTTGTGAGGTATTATTTATCATGGAATAAATAGGAGAATCTCATGAAACCTGCCCAGAAACATGTCCAGGTCACATTTCATCCCCAACTCAAAATAAAAACTAGCAAGAAGCTATATTTTGCCATTTAAGTCATTTTAGGACATGGCAATTATTATTTGTTATTATCCATATTTAAAATACTCTTACAGTAATTGTAATGGGGAAATTATTTAAATATATTATTTAAACGATCAAGTTATGTATATAGCATTATTTATACAGCATTATTTGTATGTTTAAAAAAAAGTCAAATACAGGAAAGCAGGGAAAAATACAGTTTCCAGAAAAGAGAAACTAATAGGAATCATAATTACAAAAAAGGCTCTTAAAATAGGTTTCATTTTCTAAGCAAAATTACTACTATTATTATTAATTCAGGGGTGAAATGTGACCTGGACATGTTCTTGAAAGATTTCATGAGATCTCCTAGTGAAGTTATATCCAGACATCTGGGACTTAAGATAGAAACATAAGAGGTATTTTTATTTATCATGTTATGTTTTTTTTAAGAAAAAAAAATCTTATTTCAATTTCATTATATCTCTCTCAATCTGCATTAAGCAAATCATCCGCACATCTGTTGCGCCAAATTGTTTGCGATGGGCGTGGATTGTTTGAATAAAACAATGCTTTACGTTATGAATAATACAATGTGTCAACACATGAAAATTTATTTGTCCGAGGCACACAGTCTGATATCTCCATTTCTGCTCCCTAATTATAACCTGGAAACTTCCTATTGGCTCTGTGTGTATCTTTTCTACCGCTTCATTTTATAGCTTGTTGACTCACACAGTATTCCAGACTGGCAGTCGTGTATGTATAACATTTACAAGTCCTCCCTATAAGGTTTGGCCTCAATCAAGCTTTTATGCTAATTACACACTGTATACATGTTATAGTTCAGCACACAATAGGCCACTTGTCACTTGCACCAATGATGATACGTTACACCAGAAGTAATTACTACCCTCGTCTTCAAAGATCCAACAAGGACTTTGGGGTAATCAGTCCCTGATATTTAACTTTAGAAACACAAGCTTTAGCAACACTACCATGTGTCTCAAGTCTCAAGCAAAACACTGCCCTGAAAAACATTTGATGAAGGATTCACTTTGATTTTACTATTTTCAGTCAGAAATCGCTAGTAACTTTCATTAATAATTGCAAAGAATTGCAAGTAACATTGAATTAAACAAAAAAAAAGAATGTAGTATTTTCTCATAAACGCACTCAGTTATTCTTCGAGGAAGAAAAAAAAAGTTTTACCATGTGTAAAGGTTTTCCAGTGGCTTATCCCAAGGATACACATTCACTTTTTCTCCTGTCAGAAGCCATCTGATCAAGAGTCATGCCCTTCTAACTTGACAAAAGGTGTACATCTTAATGGAGTGATTATGTTCCGGTCAGCATGTGTTTTATTCCAGTACACTTGAAGCTAGCACTAGAACAAAGTAGAAAAACATCATAAAAAGAAACTGATTTATGTGGCATGACTGTTGTTGCGCAATGTTTTTGGGAGTGTTTGTTGTGGGAGATCACTGTTTACGGCTCGTGTACACTTATAGGAGCTGTATTGTGTCATTACGGTGTGTTTTATGATTGAAGTGGCATTCAGAAATTAATCTGCGTGATGAGGGTGCCGTGCTAAGTGCAACAAAACAAACCACCTCCGCTTAAACGCCTCTATTCAAAACACTTTGGACCGTTCCTTGCCATTATTTGTACTGAAACTGTGTGCATGCTCTCACATGAATACTGATTTCTTCACAAGCCATTGATTTTAGCGTTCAGTGCAGACTAAATTTGTTTTGCGTACTTGACTAAAGATGCTTGTCTTGCAGTGCAGTATTTGGTAAAGTTCAACATGGGGGAAAATATCTCTCAACCAATCAGCTGATGTTAGCTGACAGCACAGAGGCTTTTTGTGCAGCGCTACTGTGAAAGTGTATAAGCAGATACTGTCTCAGGCTAATGAGGTATTATTTTTCAGATAATCTAATAATTCAGAGAGTGAAAGAAGCATTATTGATTTGGGCTTTTTTTCATCTTTAACGAAGGCAAAGAGTGTCTGGAGAATGGCTTATTAGTGTGTCTGCAAACTTTTCCTGTATGCACATGATGCCAATGACAATAACAGCTTTCAATACATCAAAACGCTGCTGAGATAAAGCCTCACTTCCTGTTTACCATCATTGCAATCATCTGTTTTTGGAGTGTTAGAGATTAAATGGCTTTGGAAATTAAAATAAATTTGGCCTGAATCTTATGGACTGTTGGCTGAATGTTTGATGCATATGGCACTCAAAATGGAAAACAATTTGGGAGTTTCAAAGTCGTCATCTGATTGGTTGAATTCTATAGGTTTTCTGGGAGACGTGTGTTCTAAGATGAACTGCTGTTGTGATGCCAAAGCCCCTCATGGAAGAAGAAAGCCAATGTGTTTAAAACTGCCAGTGATCGCTTACCAGGATCAACTAAACACGGGATTTTTTTTTTTTTTTTTTTTTTTTTTAAGTATGTGAAGTTCACGGCATATACTCTACACCACTGTTGCAGTAAACTTTCACAACAATCTTGGATGAATTATTTATTAGATGCACACCGGTCTGTTATTGTAGGGACATTGAATTCATTCCCCAAATCATGACACTGAACAAAGCAAATTGTGATTGGTTGCTTTACATGTCAGTCAGATGGCCTCTTGGGGATCTTTGGCCAATGGAAGCTGCAATGGAGTCCAGACCTTCTGCCGTCAGTCTGAAGATCTGACTACGCAAGACTAGACAAACTGTGTAAGAGCTGCCATGAAAAAACTATTGTGAATCTGTTCAAAATGGTAGAATGGCAAATGGTTGACCTTGAAAAACTGGTACTCATAGCATTTCAAGAAGTGCTTTGCAAAATGGATAGAAAAAATTGTGAGTTTAACCCTTTCACACATACGTTTAAAGACATAATGAAATTTTGACCAGTGGTGGTGCTGTTACCAAAGCTCAAGCATCCTTTTCCTTTCATCCTCAGAAACATCAAAAAGAAGCAACAACGAAGACTTTTTGAAGCATTTTAATGTAATCATCAGTCTTTGCTATGAACAAAAGTACTTTATAATGAGTCAAAATATGTCCCGATGGGACGACTTCCCCATAGAGAGGAGATTCTTCATAGGGTGTTACTTTGGTATTCCCTCGTCTTGAATATCAAACTGCCGGTTGGGTGTTGTGGACTCAAGCATAAGCTCGTAAAGGTGTCCGATCTGCTCATCTTGAAAGTCTTTGAGTTTCTCTTCTGATAAATCAGCACCAAATGCCAACTTCTTGATTCCCACCGCTTCCAGCACCTGTGTCTGTAGGGTGTCTTTGTAGTTCTACACAGGAAATAAGATGGAGAAAAAAGCATTACTTATGAAAACATAAGCAACTTGTTGAACATTGGTGACGTGACCAAAGCCTCAACATCCGTGTGCCTGTTATCGTGTCTTTGATTGATTTTACATTCAGACACAAGTGAGGTATTAATTTGATAAAGCGCTATTGATTTACTATAACAGACTGTGACAGAATGATTTATATCCATTTATTGGAGATTCATTGATTGCAATTCACATGATGAAACACAGGTCATTGGGGTTGCTGGGGGAAATGTAGGATCAGTGAATCCACAAGGTCTAATGGAGGTCAATGCCTACTGCTCTCTCGCAGCCTGCTAAAATCACTCCCCTATATCAGTGATTAACATCTGTATGAAAGTTCCAAACAGGTCTACAAAAAGTCTTACAAAACTGACAATTCTTCTACTTTCAAGTAAAGTTGGCCTTCAACGTATCAGAGTTGCAGGTTCTTTTTGTTAACTTCTTAAAGAATGGTTAATCCATTGTCGAAACATACTGACTCTTCAAAGTGCATTCTTCAACTGTTTTCATGATGCACTATTGCATTGTTCTTCAAGGTCTACATTATTTTGCTCACCGTGGACAAAACAGCATCAAAATATTCTCACAGACTGTGTTTTATACTGAATGTACAGCACCACAATGAAAGCAATGAACAAACATACAGCGTGACCATTGTAGTCCGATACATTCGTTTACAGAGGTGTAAAGAGTACCTGAATACCATACTTGAGAAAAAGTACAGACCTTACAGCGAAAGTTAGCAACAGTGACTCAATTACGTCACCAATTCCAATATTACTTGAGTAAAAGTCTTAGGTGTTGAGGACTAGTGCACCTTTGATCCTACATTCAGCCTACATGAGTATAATGCTGTTAAAATCAGATACTCTAAGAGAAATGCCAGTGAAAAACAAGAAAAAACTGATTTGCGAGAAAATAAATCATGCTTATTTTCTGAAATCAAAATAAAACTGAACACCTCAAAATTGCAATAAATCAATGTCGACACAACAGCCTCTTAAACCAATATCCTTCAAAACAGTTCTCGGCCATGTCCTCATCTCATATATGAAGCACCTGTGATTCACAACTACCTGCTAATGCACTAGTATTCACATAAAATAGCCATGTTGACAAGTTTGGGTGAGTAAGGGCAAAACACACAAGATATAGTACCTTCAATGCCCTGTAGATAGCAATATCACTTCTTTAGTAGCACAAAATGCTGCAGAAAAAGTTCGGTGCCATGCAAAATGTAAAAAGTAGTTTAGGGCTAGGCGATATGTAGGGATGGGTACCGAAACCCGGTATGTAATTGGTCCCGGGGCTAAATTATGAAAGACCGGAGTATCGATAAGCTCTGACGTTAACGGTTCTGCTATCGATACTGGAGAAATTAAGAAAACACTCATACATTTATTATTGCTATAGTTATTATCTTGCAAATTCTATCTCTAATGCACTAGTGACTGTTTTATTAAGCCTGTGGCTGTTTTATTAAGCTATTTTAATTTTTTTTTATTTAGATTTTGGCTTCTAAGGATTACAGCCGTGTTTCTTCTAGCGCAACTTTTTCTCTTCACAGCTGTGCGCATTCATTCCTCCCTAAATCCCAAACTTAAAGTCAGAATCAGCACAATTGGTGATTGTTGAAAAAAGGCCATCTTATAGTGTTGATAAATTGCGGGACATGTTTGATAGTAAAACGTTGAAAGCACAATCTGCACAGAGGGCGCTGTTCCCCATGCTGAAATGTGTGCACACGACGCGGTCCAAAACGGACAAGCTAATTACACTTTGAGCTTCGGGCACGTCCAAACGATCAAATACACACAAAATATGTCAAAATGGCGTTAACATACTTGGAGAGTATTTACTTAAACACATTTTATGTCTTAAGTGGATGAGAACAGTTGGGAGAAAATCCGATGCGTGTCAATATATTGTCTTAAAGTGACAGACTGGCGCTTGGGCCATCAGTTAATCAAACAACAAAATGCAAAGACAAAATCACTCACAGCTCTTAATCTGAATTACGTTATAGCTTTAATAAGTATCGATCTATCAACAGGGGCGGATTTAGTGAATTGGGGGCCCCAGGCAAAATATAGGAATGGGGCCCTATACATTTGCACACATTTTCCTAGATCAACCTTGAGGTTCCATTTTGTTGTTTTCAGTGTAAGCCTGTGTGCAAAGGCTGTCTAATTCTAAACTTTAAAATACATTTATTTTTAGTCGTTTTAACTACAAATTTAAATAAAACTGAAAAAATAATTAAAAGGCAATTATACATTTACACACCTAAAATACATATATCAAGAGCATGCTCACAGATGAGAACAAAACAGCGTTGGATGAAGTGGATTAAAGCCCTGCACGGGTCTCAAATATAGGCCCAAGCCCGTCTTTTTTCCCCTTTTCCCAAAAAAAGTTATACTTCTGTTTCAGCTATTAAAATAGTTCAGTTTTATATGTAATGGAAAAGTAATTATATTTCGTTTCGTTCTTTATAAAGTAAATTTAGAAACAACACTTGGAGTATTTTTTGTCGTTAAATGTAAGTTTTTTTGTTTTTTTAAGTAAAGGCCAGTGGCAGACATTGAATTGATCATAGCCTATAGCCTATCAATTTAGCCTTCTCAAATCATCAGGACTTGCCTAAAATAAAATCTATATATAAAACAGTTCAAGTATATCACAGTTTAAATGTTTAACCTAGATAAATGTGCATATCCAATCGTTTGCGGAGGAGTGGAAGCTGAAGCTCTGCAGGACATGGAGGCGCCAGTGCGATCACTTGCATTTTTTTCTAACAGTGGAAACAACTTAAAATACGCAGTCATTTTTGCTCATAAAGGTAAGAGTAATACATCATCATTCTAAACTGTAAAGGGTCTAGTTTTATTTGTGTGCACTCACAATATCAACAAATCGTTGTGCTTTTATAAAATAAAGAAAACAAACGCTTTCTGCCGTCTCGGTCTTGAACAGGAGCGCTTCACAATGATGAACCTAAACTCAGACATGATCAAAATATATAGAAAGCTTTAAATTAATACTTTAAAACGAAATAATTCAAATCGAAAATAGACTCCTAATCAAATAAACTCTTTCATTATGTAATCCGTGCATTTTTCTCTAAAGGCACATCCAATTAGGAGATGGTGAGTCATTTTTTCATCACTATAATTGATGAAAGGCCCGATTATAATTTGCGTTTTATTTTATAATTCCGTACAGTTAAAAAATAAAACACTAATTATAATGGCATATATGTAAAACTTTGTCCTATAATTGTATAGCTGCTTTTTCTGATTTTTATGTTGCTCTGTTCTGAATACCTGAAAATTTAAAGAATTTGCTGCAAGCAATTTTGTATGATATGTTAATTATTTATATTTTTTATCCATGCAGCAAATGCTTTAAAAAACGGCTTTAAAATTAGTTTATTGCATTCCAGACGCTTTTAAAGTGCTTTTCACTATACATTTTACGGGTAGCTTGAATGTAAACATTGTCATGAATTTGTTGTATTCCCATTTGCAAAATAGGCAACAAATTAATTGTTGTAGGCTAACCCGATCTCATGAAAGTGCGTATAGCATGATTTTCTGCTTCTATTTGGCGTAATATTTCTATGCAGAAATTGACTTTGGCATGCAAAAGACTGATAAATTCATAATTAACGGCATGGGTTCAATCTACAGAAATATGGGACACACAATACAGCCGTAGGTGCCACAGACTCGGAGGTTGTCGTGGTAATAAACACTGTAAACAGCAAACGTTCGCGTGTCAGCGCTTCAGCGCTTTATCCTACATGAAAAGCATTTTAGGGGGCCCTTAGCTTTTGGGGGCCCAAGGCGGTCGCCTACCTTTGCCTAATGGGTAAGTCCGCCCCTGCTCTGCAGTGAATGGGTGCCATCGTAGCTAATAAAAACATCACAATAATCCACAAGTAATTTACTCCAGTCCATCAATTAATGTCTTGTAAAATGAAAACTACATGTTCGTAAGAAACAAATCCATCATTAAGGCATTTTAACTTTAAACAGTTGTTTCTGGCCAAAATTCATAATAATTGACATATTTGCTTAGAACTGTTTTTTTAAATGGTTTAGCCCATTTTCACTTGTAAACGATGCTTGATGACTGGAGAAAGCAATATTATGGATAGAGGCACTCATATTTTAGCCATATTTGAAGCAACGGTTTGAAGTTAAAAACATCTTTTGCTTCACAAGACTATTATTGATGGACTTGAGTCGTGTGGACTACTTCCAGATTATTGTGATGATCAGCTGTTTTCAGTCTCATTCTCATGCCACCCATTCACCGCAGAGGATCCATTGGTGAACAAGTGATGTAATGATAAGTTTCTCAAATCTGTTCTAATGAAGCAGCAAACTCATCTACATCTTGGATCACCTGAAGGTTAATTAAGGGACTGAGGGAGTTAATTTTCAGCAAATTTTAATTTTTGGGTGAAATGTTCCTTTAAAGCACCATGTAAATATCACAGTATATGAATCATTCAGTACCATATTAACTATCCTCAACCATCACTGTACTATGGTATCACCTTAGTACTTTTGAGAGGGGTACCAGTAGCACTAATACAATGTAGTGCTTCAAAACAAATACAGTATATATATAGAAATGCTAACTTTTAAAGAAAGGAAAAGTGTTCTGCAAGAATAGTTGAATAAACATATCTATTACATGGAGTGTGTGTGTGTAGTGACCTGTGAGGAGACTGAATGTGCAGCGTGTCCACTGGTCCATATCTATGTCGTAAGAGTCAATGTGTCTAACCAGGATGCGGTCATTGTTGTAGTCCAGATCGTTCCCCCCCAGCACATACAGCTGCCTTTTTACTGCCGCCATCACATGGTACACCCTCCTCTGCAACATGGGACTGCGTGCTAACCATTGATTCTATGACAGAGAGGGAATAACAAAAGAAAGAG